TGACATGAACAAAATATTATCTATAAACATGAAAAATTTATAATGGTTAAGAGTTAAATAAGTAAAATAGTATTAAAATAACAAATAATTATTAAAATAAAAATATAATGAAAGTTATAATAACTATAATAAATATTAATAAAAAGAACAAAAATAATAATAACTTTGAATACATAAAATAATTTTAAAAATGTATAATGCATATTATAATAATGATAATAAATGTAATGAAAAAAAGAAAATATAATAACAACAATAATTATTTAAATAAACATAATATTATAAAATAATAAAAAGGTTATTATAGAGAATAAATTTATTTATAATATAAAAATATAAAGATAAGTATTATAATTATAGTAATAATAAATATAAATAAAAAAAATTATACTAAATATATGTACTATTTACCTATTAATTTTTTAAACTTGTTCTATACATTAGTTTTACTTATTTATTAATATTAATATTAACTTTTCATTATAATATCAAATTATTTAACACTACTTTAATAGTTTATATTATTTGATAAATATTATTTATAGTTAATAAAAATCATATAGCACGTACGTGCTTTCAATAACTTATAGGCCATCTTCACAATAATGGTGAACCAAAAAACATTCAAGGCAAAAATGATCATCAAAAGAAAGCCGAAAATAAAAATGCAGGGTACGATGGGCAAGTCGCTTATAATATAGTCAAACAGAGAAATTCCGAGATATAATTGAATAGCGTCAAAAAAAACTAAAAAAATAATAATAGTAATAAATATTAATAAAATACATAAAGAAAGAAAGAAATATATAAAAAAGTTATTATATGTATGTATAATAATTATTAATTAATATAATATATAAAAAGAAAATTAGAAAAACTACATAAAAAAATAATAAAAAATATAAACGATGATAAGAAATATTAAAGAATATAAAGGCTCACCGCTTTTCAGTAGATGAAAAGGAAAAACAACTATCCTCGATATAAAAAAAACAACCGCAAAGATAATAAAGAAACAGTCCGCAAATTTCTATATAATAAAAAAAATATTGAGTAAAAAAATAAATATATAATAATATAAGTATTATGCTAGAAAAAATATATATAAAAATAAACAGTAAGTAAAAAAATAATAAATAAATAAACAAGTATATATAATAAACGCTAGTAATAAATAATGGAGTTCAAAAAAATATTATAAATAAATATGTATTAATAAGAAAAATATATACAAAATAAATATTAAGTAAAAAAATTTAAGTATATATTTAAATAAAAAAATAATAACAGCTACAATAATAAAATGTGATAATATATATATAAATAGTACGTAAAAAAAAATTATAGTAAATATATAAATAAAAATAATAACAGCTCTAAAAATAAAGTAATAAAATATATATTAATAGTATAATAATAAGAAAACATATACAAAATAATCATTAAGTAAAAAAATTAAAGTAAATTTATAAATAAAAAAATAATAAAGGCTATGATAATAAAAGTGAGTAGCAAAATATATATAATACATCTATAAAAAAAATATATGGTAAAAGACAATAAACTAAATAGAAAAAATAGAATATAAAAACATATAAAAAAAATGAGCTATTATAAATAAAATATATTATATTAATATTTATTAAAAAACATTAAAAAAACAAAATAGCAAAATTTATAATGAGAAAAGCAGAGAAAAATTAAAAAATAGTAGAATATATAAAACAAATATCATACTAAAAGTACAATTAATAGGTACGAAATAAAAGGCTTACCCGTAAAATAAATTGGTATATTAAAATAGTTATTAATTAGTTGCATTATATTAAAAAGTGGAAATAAATATTTTTGCCGAAAAATTGTAACAATTAAGGTAAAAAGTATAAATATAGAAAAAAATAGTCAATTTCTAGCACCATATAGTACAGGATAAAGTGACTGGGCATAAAAAATTAAATGGATATAATAAAAAATAAAAAAGTCAATGATTGGACCCAATATAATAGATGGTGAGGAGTAATGTAGTACGCGGCCAAATGGGTATCGATGGTATATAAATCGTAATCAATATTAAATTAATGTCCAATATAAAGTTAGCAAATAATTTTTTGCTACAAATTAATGTATCAAAACAAGATTATACCAAATTAACATAAAATACGATCATAATTTGTAATACAATATCCTTCAAAAAAAAAATTAAAAAGAAAGTTAATGAGGTTAACAAATCAGCCAGTCCCTTTAGAATTCTTTAAGGATAATACAAAAAATAGCTCTAAGTGCAGCAGTTTAATAATATACAAGTGGTTTTTAAATAATATACCGAATACTTTGCATACACACAAGCCTTAGCCAAATCCAAAAATATGTCGCTCACGTCGTGAGTAACCATTATTAACGTGCCAATCTGTTATAAAAAGATTGAAAAAATTAAAAGAAAATATAATAACATAATAATAATAAATAATTATATAAAAGTTAAGAAGATTAAAAATCCATATAAAATATATATAGTAAAAGATTGTAATAAATATGAAACTTTTAAAAAAAAATTAAGTATAATAAAAGCTAGCAGTAACAAAAAAATAACAAAAATAAAAAGAAGTTTGAGAATTAACAAAATTAATTTAAATATAAAAAAATAAGTTTAGCAAAAGTAACAAAATTATAAATTTAATGAAAATATTATAAAAATAATAATAAAATTAATAAAAATTTATATAACATCCTTAGAACATTTATATTTTACTATAAAAAAATTATTAGAAAATATATAAAAAAGTAATTTATAAAAATAATATTAATAATACTATAAACAAATTTTAAAAAAAAATTCGCAAAAAATAATTATAACCGCTTAAAGTTAATAAAAATTATAAAATATTATCTATAATAGTAAAGTTTTTATTATAAATTATATATAAAAAATATATACAAAAATATATTTAAACAATATTTATTATTATTATAATAATATAAATTTATTATATAATTAAAAAGTTTACATATATATATATATAGCAATAATATTTATTATTATTATAATATAAAATTATTATATAATTATCAAGATAACATATAAATATATATATATTAATAATTTTAATGATTATTATTTAAATAAAATTAACTTATTATGGAACTATAATAATAATACAAAAAATATATTCCAATAAAAGATTATATTAATAAAATAATATGACTTAATATATAATTATAAAAATGAATATATACGTACTTTTCAGCAATATTTATTATTATTATCAATAAAATAATATAAACTTATTATATATCATTATAAAAAAAATATAAATATACAGCAATTTTTATTATCAATAAAAAAAAAATACAAACATATATATATAAATATTTTCCGAATATATTTATTACTTATTATAAGAAAAATTAAAAAAACTTCATATACTAAAAAACTTTAATTTGTGTTAAAAAAAATAATTATAAATTTTCTTATTAGAAGAAAAATTGTTTCATATATTAAAAAAAAAGTAATGTATTATATAATTATAAAAACTATTAAAAAAAATTCATGTAATAAAAACTTTGTAAAATTATATTATTCATAAAAAAGGGTAATATAAATTTTAAAATAAAAAAATTTACTTACATATTCTTAAAAAACACCTAATCAATGTATATTATTGATAAAAACTAAACGTTTAAAAAATTCATAAACTAAACACTTTAAATTATGATAAATAAAAAAATAATTAAAATTTTTTTTTTAAAAGATTATAATTCATATACTACTAAAAACTTTAAAATGCCTATTACGAAAAAAATTATAAAATTATATCAAAAAATATAATAACTATATAATACATAAAAAGCATTAAATCAACCACTAAAAAAGTTCAGTATTTAAAAAAAAAATTAATATTAAAAATTACAAATAAAAAAAATCTTAACTAAAAACTAAAAATAATAACAATAAAATAATTAATAATTTTTTAAAAAAAAAATTATTCACTGAAGAACTAAACCAATAATTTATAAAATTTATATATTAACAAAAAAAATTTTAACTATAAATCTTTTAAATTTTATATATTAATAAAAATATTGACAGTTATAATTTTTTTAATAAAATAAAATTATTTAACTTAATACACTAAAAAAACTTTAAAAACTAAATAACTTTATAAAATTTATAATTATATAAAAATTAAGTTTTTAATAAAAATAAAATAAATTTAATTTCATTCACTAAAAAAACTTTTAACTAAAAAATTTTTATATAAGTTACATATAATTATAAAATAAATTATAATAAATTTCTTTTAAAATATTAAAAAAAAAATTTCTTAAACTAAAAAAACATAACTAAAAAACTCGATGAAATGAATATATTAATAAAAAATTAACTTCTTATTTTTTAATAAATTAAAAATCATAAAAATTAATTTATTTATAAATAAATTAATACTTCTGAAGTTTTTTTAATGAAAGCAAATTATAAAAACGTTAATTTCATATATAAAAATTACCCTCCAAAAGTTAGTCACAAACGAAAAGAAGATCAGGAAACAAGTGGAAATGTGGTGAAGAACAGTTTCCATAAAATCCTTGCGTTTGTTATCAAACGGAAGCATAAGGAGGCAGCTCATATAATAACTAAACTGAAGAGTATAAAAAAATCGAGAACCTGTTTTCGAAAAAAAAGTTAAAAAATTTATTAAAAAAAATTTATAATTAAAAAATAATTCTATCTGAAAAAAAATTAAAAGAACCATCATCTACTTCATGTAAAGGTAAATTATCCCAACATTCTTTAATATCCCTTTAAAATATATATATATAATTAAAATTGTGAAAAACCATATTTTAAAATTAGTAAATTTTGTTGAAGATTTTTTTAAAAAATTAATTAAAAATTAAAATTTATGAAAATTTTTTTTTTCAAAAAATAAGTAGAGAAATACCAAAACCAGGGCTTACTAATAAGAACGCCGATGCCGTAAATAAAAGAGAATGTGTAAAAAAAAAATCGAAAAAGAGATTCCGAAAATTTATTAATTTTAGGAGTAAGTGCCGCTTTGTTTCTTTTTCTAAACCTTAAGAAAAGTAAATTCTATTAAATTTAAAAAATTATCATAATTATAAAACTTTTGTCGATTGTTTTTAATAGTATTACTATACTTTCTAAACTAAATATGAAATTAAAAAGTAAAGAAAATATAATTAATATAAAAAATTGAATTTAAGTCTTCTACTCAAAAACATTAGTTTTAAAAAGTGAAAGAAAAGATTCAAGATTTATAAAATAAATAAATCTAGAAAAACCCTGTAAGATTCTACAGGAACTTACTAAGTTTCAAAGAAAATTTTTTTAAAAAATGATTAATTTAAAAAAGGTAAATTTAATTAATTAATAACTGTATATATATTTAAATTAACGCTTACATAAATAAATTCGGCAAAATTATAAATCTTCAAAAACAAAAAAAATTACTTTTTCCCAAATTTTAAACGATAATTAATAAAAATCAATTAGTATAAGTATATATATAAAACAAAAAATTATAATAAGAAAAAAATATAAATATTATTATGTACAATAATTATTTATAAATAAATTTAATTCAAATTTTCTAGTAGGAAAAATTTACAACTAAAAACTTTTTTGTCTAATAATTATAAGTATGTAAAATAACCAAATTTTAAGTTCGTATTCAGTTTTTCCAGTGGACCGAGAAAGTTGACTAATTGTTAGGCCATCTATTTTTTTCCTTCGTCTTTTCCGAAAAACATCTTCAAGTATTTTATTTGGCTCATATCGTTGAGAAGGTTTCGGAATACCCAACCATAAACCAAGTTTATAAAAAACAAAACGTTCAAAAACAAAACGAAGGAATATTAGAAGTAAAATTCCAGGAATAACCTAAGAAATAATAAAAGTAAAAAAAAAAGCATAAAAACTTAATTACTATAATATTCACAGCACTAAAAAGAATTACAGAAACTGAGCGGTCACTAGATTCTAAATGCTTCCAAGTAATTCCTTTATTTTGAATAATATTTAGAACCGACTAATAAGATAATAAAACTTAAAAAATTAATTCATTTACAAAAGTATATTAAAGAGAAGTATCGAAAAAACATAAATATAAGGTATAAACTTGGAGGTAGTAGAAGCCATTCAGTAATTGTCCTGTTGTCTAAAAATATTGTTTTATCTTTAGCCGCCGCTCCGTGCATCAGACTTGTTAAACTTTAACAAAGAAAGAAGAAGAAGAGCGAAGCAGTCGGCCCAAAAATATGAATAGTTCATGCTTGTACGTGATGACTTTTTTAAAGCTTGCTTGAGCCTTTAAAGTAAACCAATGATAGTCATGTGAATTTTTTTTAACTCCAATAAACTTTGTTTTGTTAAAGTGTTCTTGAAGGTTTATCAAACTATAGCAAATATACTCCGAAATATTGACTCTAAAATCAGTTATTACCAAAAATTTATTTAATTTTTTTATTATTGAAAAGTTTCCTTACTAATCACTAAATAAAGGAAGCAAAAACAGTTAGGAACTGTGTAAACTATTTTATAATTTTTTCTAATTCGCTGTTTTTTTTTACAAGTGGTGAGTGGCACAAGCTGCTGATAGGTTGCTCTGCTTTTTGTTGAGTAACATTAACTTAAATACCTTCTAGAAACTTTAATGTACATGAAGTACTTTAAAGATATAAAAAAAGGAAAATTTACTATAAATTATAGTAATTACATGAAATGTATATATATCAATTAACTTTTACAATAAAATTTAATTTCAAGCCTATATAAGTGGCTACATTTTTGTCATATTTACGTTTACTTTTAAAAAATCTTTTTAGAACCTTTTTACCTGTTCTTTTAAATTTTTTTTTACTCTTAACAAGCTATTTTGGTTTGGACTTTAAGGATCTTTTATTTTTTGAGAGCAGAGATTCCAATTATACGAAGGCTGTTCGGCAGAAAGTGAACCTAAGGTACATTTATTATATTTCAATAAAATTCCATCTATGTCGATATAAATTCATATAGAACGTGCAATTGTTTCATCTCGCGAAAAAAATATTTTGAACTTTGTAAAATGGTCAGCTACAACCGACCCCATTTCGTTTTCATCGGAAAATATTCTACCACGTGACGCCTATTTAAATTTTAAACAATGTTATTAGCTCTAGTACGCGTGTAGAGTCTCGAACGTTACACTAAAGAGAAAGCTGTCAACTATATACCTTCTTACAGCATATAATTTAGTTGACAAAGAATTTAATTGACACATTCTAATTAATCAAGTGTGTCTAATTTATAAATTTTTTTGGATTATATGTATAAGAGTATACAATTAATAAGTTAGAAGGTTTCTCTTTTAGCTCCCTTTTTTTTTGCCAGTAGTTGTTCGCTGGGTGTTTTACTTTTGCTCGATTACTTCTACGACCTAGCAATTAAAAGAAGGACCGCATAGGTTTCGTTTAAAGAAAAACTTGTAGCCAGATTTAAGTTAAAACCTCATGAAATAGTTCAATAAAAGCAAGATAAAGTTTTTATTAAATTAGCTTGCGCCAACACCATAGACCGAAGCCTCGGGTTGACGTAGCCCTATAGTTATATGCACACACAATTCAACTTAGGAATCCGTTTCTAGAAGTTAACCTGCTCTTTCAAATATTCCATTTACAGCTTACTCTTTATAACTCATTCTAATTATCTTTTCTCACTAGGCTATTCTATATAATAAACTCTGTTATGCTCTCTATCTTTTTTAATTGGTGGTAAGGATCACTCCCTTACAAATAGTAACAATCACTGGGAGCCAGGTCTGGATTGTAGGATGGATGGTTAATTTCCTGGAAGCCCATATATCGCATAGGCACGCTTTGCAACTTGAGCCGTGTAAACCGGCGCGTTGTCTTGTGATAGGAGAATTCCTCACCTGTTACCCCTGCGTTTTTATTGGTCTGTCGCAATTAAATGATTAAGTCGGCGTAATATTACTCGTTCATTTTCTTCGCCTAGGGAGGTGACCCAGCCAAAGCATTCCTGCGCTATTCTAAAATATCGTTCTCTTAAGTTTAGTAACCATTCTTTGAACCTTGAACTTGCGCGGTGACTTTTCTCCCTTTTTTATCCATTATGGAACTCTTGTTCGGGTACTGGATTGTACATGTCATCACAGATTATAACGCGATGATAAATCGCACCCCAAAACATTCTTACATAACGAAGAAAATCACGTACGCGAACTTTCCACTCATCGTTCCCGAGTTAGTAAAGTGAACATTTTAGGCACTCATCGCGCGCTCACTTTGTTGAAGGAGTTGTCCAACAGTGTCCTTGCTGATCTTTAGTCCTCTGCTACCTGACGAAATGGAATTCGACTGTCTCGTCATGCAAAATGGTTTAGAGCGTTCATCGTCTTCACTCTCGTCCTATTTAAAACTGCGAAGTCTACCTTTTATCCGTTGCATGTGATGGAGGACATTGTAGATATGGCCAACAACCCGTTCGTTGATTTCTTTAAAACAATTACCTATAATTTACAAGGTACTTTATCACAGCACGATATTCAAATTTCCTATTTGACAAGGCTCCTCTGGGCATGTTATTTGTTGACGCTTACTAAATATTGTTACAATAATCATAACCAAATATGACACATCAGCAATTGGTATTATGTGTGTACGGTTCAAATTTTTTTTGTAATCCCTCCCTTTATACTCGAGGCTCGACTTTCCGCCAGACTGTCCTCTTAAATAGTAAGTAATAAAAAGCAATAGTTTATTAAAAATTACCACACATATAAACAATAATAATCCACACAAAAATAATAATTAAAAGATAAACCAAATAAAAAAAATATATAAACTAACGGCACCGATGGAAATCGAACACCGCGGCCTTGAGATTGCGCGACCATGCTCTAACCGCTAAACAAATGGTGACTTTTTTTTTAAAAAAACCGGGATTTATATTTATTATAGGAAATTAAGCCGATGCACCCTTACGAAAGGTTAAGAAAAGCATTCCATTTATGTATATTAGTTTAAATCAAATTTAAGATTCTTAGAATAAACATCTTTAAACATGTTTAATTTGCTTCGTTTAATAGATACGTCAGGGACAAAAACACCATATTTGTATATAATAATATGAGATTAACATAGCCTCTGCCAAACTGATTAATAACGCGATTATTCATTAGTTTAAGATATTTTTATTTAGTTTATCTTCTAATTATAATTTTTGTGTAGAGTATTATTGTTTAGATGCGTGTGTAATTTTAATACACTTACCTGGTATATGAAAAACGGGCATATTGTGACTTTTAAAAGAGGTTCTAAAAGATGAGCAGCCTAAAATCATGTCAAAGAGTAGGCCACATTTCAGATAAATTACGTTTTTATACACGAGCAGATTTTTTTTAGATGGAATATGCTGCGTCTACACATTAGATTATACAAGAAAAACTTGGAAGCGTTGACTTTTTCATAACATAACATGCGTATTCCAAGTTAATTGTTAGTTATTAGTAACCCCCAAGCACCTCACATGAGGAATATATGGAATAACAGTTTGAAGTAGGTAAGGCTTTACCAATTTTAAGTTTAGGGCTTTCTGTAATTAATATGGCTAAACTTACAGAA